CTCTTCTTATTCTTTAGCGTCTGTCCCGCTTGTAGGCGGGATCCCTTTTTCTTATATGTTGACGCCATTTTTCCTGAATAAATGTTGATCGGGCATTGCTTGATCGGTGGCGGTGTCCGTTCCTCCAAGGGTGCCACTGGGAACTGCTCACTTTGTGGGCTGAGCTGACACGGACATTCGAATGCAGGCGACAGGCCCCGTGACAGGCCGGCCTACGAACACCCACGTCACATCACAAATGTTAATGTCGCCATATGAATTTCGAGATATTGTGAACTGACCGTAACTTGAATACATCCTTTTTGCGAAGGAACAGTTACGTGGCCTTTTGAGACATTTGCGTAATCAGTGAAGTCCTTGCCTCGGGGAAGGCGTCCCATTTTCAACCCTCCCCTCCGCTCTTCCTTCATTCCTGGTATGTCGATGTATCGTGTTTATTGTATAAGAACAGTTGATCAGTCGCAAGTATTGTAATTTTAAGATTGGTCTGATGATGGCATTATTGCCGAAAGCTTGCCAATAAATTGTGAAAATTCTTAGAGCTCCAGAACATTTAGACTGCGATCGAGACATCTTTTTTGGTTCTCTGCTTTGTGATTGATATATTTGGGCCATTTTGCAGTTGTATTTTCGATGGGTAACCCTCGAACTCCGTCCGGAATTTTTGGAGAGCTACTTTTCTAGCAATAGTGCCGCATTTATAGTCACACAGATGATGGAGAAAGTTGCTTCACTGGTGATACAGTTTTCTTAGCAACACTGCTCGACCAACCACTTCTTGAGCACGGTTCCCTGCTGTGCTGAATGGTATTTCTTTGTCGAAGGTTCGATAAGACCTTCGAGAGCGAGAGCAAGAAGGGAAGGGGGCGAGCCGACAGTGTTGACGGAACCCATCGCGAATCCGATTATCCTCTTCTCAACTGCCCATGCGACGACATGATGCTTCAAATTCTCCGCGACATCTGGCCAAAATAAGCCGTGCATAACATAGCGGGAGTCCATAATATCACTCAACTGTTTAAAAGTAATATTGATGAAATAAATCGGATAAAGCATTTCTCGCGCTTCCCCGTCCTGACTTTGCCACGCATTCCTCTTCGCTTTGGTAGAGAACTAGCATTCAAACACGTACTTGGTCCAAGAATGGTCGAAGAAGGTAAAGAATGAATTAAGGGAGTCGACAATGTGAAAAAAGCTGCAGCTTCGGCAGCTTACTTTGCAAGGCCCGAGCGCTCTTGTCGGTTGGTTTGCGTGCACAGGAACGCCACATTTGTGATTATTAGCGTTGTAAGGAAGAGAGTTTCACGCGACTCTTGGCTCGGGTTGTGCCTTCACTTAAAGGACGAATTCACGATGAAAAAGCAACCCATTTCAAATTAACCTAGGGATGGTGAGTGGTACACGAAAGAAGGAAGAACCATGAGAAACGGCCCAGAACCCGAGAAATGGTACCCCTTCCTTGCCCGTTGATTCGAGCATTGATGCGACTCTCATCGCTGTGCCCTCTTCAACGCTAACGCTCTCTCTGCTATGTCAGGTGGACGTACTGCGCCAACAGCGCCAAGAGTGAGCCGATCTCGGAGGCTCAATTTTCGCAATCCACTTGCGCGTGTGGTCACGTGCACACTCAAGCAGGTCCCGGCTCCTGCACTTCCATCAGGCCAATTTCATCTTCTTTGATTTCGTTTATCGTAAAATCCTTCTTGAGGCTAGATTTCGAAATCATTTAGTAGGCTCATACAAGCGAAGAGGAATTGTAAATCAATCACTGCTTCATTACGAGTGGTAAATAGAATTCGAAAATACAAAAAGTTCGACAAGAAGAGTGAGTTATTCGCTACCTACAAGAAGTTCGCCATCGCTGCAACTACGGTGCCCAAGGGCCAGGTTCACGAAAGGTTTGAGTCAGTAGACGCAGCCTCTAGGACCCAGATTTACTTATCCTTGATTCCTTTAACACATTGCGTACCGTGTGCGCCACATGGCGGCGCACGACTTTCCTGCCCCGTGTGGCCGCGTGCGCCACATGGTGGCGCACGATTTCTGAATTGGTTTTCTTCACAGTGGCTGTCGATGTTCATTCCATGTTTGCGCAGATGTATGTTATCTCACTAGGAGAACAACATACTTGAGTGGGACATCTCCAGCTTGTGAGCTAATATTTTTATGTGACACTAATAAGAGCCTAGGTTGCTAATTAAATTTGCTTGAATAAAATACATTCTTTCGAGCAAATTCAACAGTCACCGCAATCTAATGTAATCCAACTGAGCTGCAATAATGTGTTTCAGCCAAAAGCTTCGCGTGAATAAAGTGATGTGCCAGCGGAACATCAGCGTAAAGGCTTTCGGGGCGCTTCTTCCACTTAACTTGCCTTTTGGCTGTATACTTTTGAAGTCTCGTGGTTTTAGGCACTCATCTTCATAATAACTTCTACTTGAAATCCTACTCGCGCTTGCGCTACCCTCGTATCAAAATCGATAATAAATGTTCGGCAAATTATGGGTGTAATACACCCACATCCCTTGAAGTCCAGTGGAGGGTGAAATGCACCTACGAATATCCTGTAAACTGAATAAACCTCATTGCTGTTCAATAAACATGCTTAAGCAGGTTGTGGGGTAAAGGAACGAACTTGTTGCCATCGCTTTTTTTCACCAGAACTTGGTCAGAGCAGATTTTTTGATCCCTCACTACCGCTGTTATATAATCATTCGATAGCCACTTGGAATGTTCATGACAATTCAAATAGGCAAAAATTATAACGTAGTCCTAACAAAATTGTGACTTAGCAAGACAATAAAAAAAACAAAGTGGTAAAGGACCCTCTAAAAAGGATTTTGAAAAATATCTGTCCCGTGTGGCCGCATGCGCCACCATGTGGCGCACGGTGCGAATGCATGCGCGGCCAGGCGAGCTCGCCAGCGCAAAAACGGCTTGGTACGCAATGTGTTAATACGAGGTAAAGAGTTTTGCGCTCAATAGGGCGCCTGCGTTTTGCAAGGAATGTGAAGTAAGTGGCTTACGTCCTCAAATCGCGCCGCTAAGATCATGGTATCTCAGCGACCTAAAGACAATATAATCTCCCAACACAACTTGGAGAAGGGAACTCATTGCGAGTGACGTCATCGAGTACAGTATTCATTGAGGAAATAGGAAATGTTAAGCCACGCTTTCTCTGAGTTCCTCCCTCGATTGAAGCATACGCTATAATTTTCGCATTAGCCAGCAAGTACTGTAATCAGACCCCCAATCCAAATCAGAGCCAAACGCGATTGTCACAGCTTTGTTGTGGATACGAGGCCATCAGAAACACTAGCAACCCTGCATAGTTTTAATTTCAACGTATTCTGAATGGATTTCCAAGAGGCTTTCTTGCGATCAAATGACATCTCCTTCTCAGATGACGTACGGCTTCGCGAGAAGCAATTCCTGCTATCATGCGAACGAGGTGACATTGGTAGCGTCAGGAAACTGTTGGCGATCAAGGACGGGCTCAACATCAACTGCGTTGATCCTTTAGGAAGGTGAGTGCGGATTTTATTCATTTGTTTTGGAGAGAACAAGGAACATCTTCCCAAAGGAAAAATGGGATTACCACCTTTTGCTTCGGACGAGGTATACGATTAAGTGGGTAGGGTTTCGAAGGGACGTTTCCGAACAAATGAGGCATCCATAGCTTTCGGAGTGGGATCATGCCCCCCCTCGAGCAATCTTCAGTGGGGCTCATATTTGTCATGTAAGTCAGGAGTTTCGATTTGGGGAGAGGAGGGGGTGTTGAAGAGTGCGCACCTGAAGAGTAGTGATGACAGTCGCTTCTCGAAGCATCTTTCAAGGGATTTAGAACAGTTCCGACTTGACAATAACTTCGGCGCTGTCGCAGGACACATGGCCATCCTTCAGGACAAAGCCTAAGAACTTGGGAGGGAATGAAAATTGCTCACGCATCCCAGATCTCACTTTTCCAGCCTAAGGCTTAGCATTAGTCCCCTTTTCAACAACGCCTTTTCAAAGAAGGTCTTCAGCGCGGTTTCAAGCACAATGCCACCACAGTGCCCCACATCTTGGGATAGCGTCATGATTTTTACTATAAAATTCACAGCATAAAGAGGATATTATGTTCAGAAATGCACTATTGATCGCCATCGAGAATGAGAACATAGAAATGATCGAGCTGCTCCTCGACCATAACATCGAAGTGAGAGCTTAGACTTTATTTTTCGTTATTTTTTGGGGCCAGGCTATTCTAAGCTGTCCATGAAGGAATCTTTTCTCCCCCTGTTTCATCAGGAAATGCCTAAAATTATTTCAGACGGGTGACGCGATCCTCTACGCCATCGGAGAAGAGAATGTCGAAGCAGTTGAGATCATAATTGAACACCTGGAGAAGATTGACAAGTTCAATCCCGAGGTATGAATATACACCACCAACTCCTCCTTGATGGAGTTTGTATCCCAATCTTGCGTTTCCAGACCCAAGGCGTCGAAATCAACCAGCACTCAGCTTTTCCACCGGAACCGATATCACTGGACGACCAATAATTCTCCGCGGCTCACAAGTAGGTGGCTTTCGAAAGTTGACAGGAGGACCGATAATCCATGAAACTCATCCATTTTCATATTTCAGGACAACTACGAGTGTATCAAGCTGTTCCTCGACAAAAAAGGCACAGTGCCACATCCCCACGACGTCCATTGCTCCTGCCATGAATGCGAAGTGGTGAGAAGAAATGACTTTGAGAACATTCCAAAGAAGTCAGATCTCCTTACATAACTTTGACTTCGTAATTACGCGAGCAAGCAGGGGCAACCGTGAACGCACCGTGATGTAGCAACTCCAAGGGGTTTCTCGGAAACGGGTTTTACTTCAAAAGAAAATGTCATGTACTGGAAGTAATTGTAGTGGGGCATTAATACACATGGAAAAAAATATTTCGCCGGTTCAGATGAACAACCTGGGCGTTAGTTGCATTCAGAACAAATCATTTCAGCTTTGTTCCAGCTAGACAAGAACACATTTCAGCCTTGTTTGAGAAGGGAGTGTGTGGTTGGTGATAGGACAAGTGACCCCATAGCACGTCTACGGTTGAGGGTGAAATTCAAGGTCAAACAATTCCAAGCCAACTACATCTTCCTAGTTTCATGACACTCATAGGCTGATCCCTCCAAGTAGGGTCAACTCTACCGGTGGCAATTTTTGAAAAATTTTTACAACGCCCTCCTTTTTGGGGGCCTGATACAACCTCCCTGGTGTGTATGGAAACGTTGACATTACATATGGACGTGGGAGAATTCGGGAAAATTGGGAACAATTTTTTATTGATGACTCGAATTTGGAATGCTCTGCACCAATAATCCCTGCCATGGTGTGCGCCGCGCCTGCGCTGTGCTTCTAATTCGCCGATGCATTTCAAAGTCGATATCGATTTCCCCTGCTGATCACCGCGGTTACGACCCTTCCCACCTCATGGATCAAATACAACCCCCCCCTCGTTGGAACTTATACCAACGTAAGGCTGACCCTCAGTCCCAGTCATTGAATCGAACAAACCACATTCAAGCCATTACGATTCTGAACTGAAGTGAAAGCATGGCGCACCTAAATTGGAATTCATCAAGGCTGAATGGCTGTCATTATCACCTTCACCCCGAACATGACATGGTGACAATATGGCTAAGATAGTGGATGAATTTGTATCGCAACTCGGACTGAAGCAATTTACGGACTGGTTTGCCGTGTCACCGTCCTGGGGAATCTGTACCACTTATACACCTGTTTCCAGTGTCTAATTTTTTAGTCATCGAGCACCTAGTGAGCAATCACAGCGTCCTAAGGGACGGATTCCTAGCACTAATCACTAGCAAGTGTCTTTCCGAAAGGGTTGGAAGATTGATTCCATTAGATCACATTCTGAACTCTTGGCATTTTTTTCCTAGTTAATTTTGAAAGCTAAGTCAGTGGCACTTCAGTAGTGTCCATGAGAAGCTCCAGTTTTTCCTAAAATTATCCTAACAGTTTGAGAAAAACATGCAAGTAAGTTATAAATTGACAGATTCGTGAGGAGGATTCGCTGCGACTGTCGCGATCTCGCATCAACGCCTATCGGGCTCTGGCGTCACCGTCGCTCATCTGCCTCTCGGCCAAGGACCCGATTCTCTATGCGTTCGAGCTGTCGTGGGAGCTGAGGCGCCTTTCTTACATCGAGAACGAGTTTCGTAGCGAATATCAGGTATGAAGGGAAGCTTAAAAAATACATTCAATTTTCTTCTTTTTGAATAATTGTAGAATGCTAACAAATTATCCTCCAGAATGCAATTAATCGACAAATTCAGGAGCTTTCTCAAAAATGTCAGAAGTTCTCGGTGAATATGTTGGATCAAGTGCGAGGGTCGAAAGAGCTCGAGATTGTGCTCAATCATACGACAACTGCCTGGGAAGAGGTTCGTGCTTGTAACGAACTTTTCAAGATTTCTTGCGATTCTGGGGGAGGGCGCTAACCATCGCTGAAATTTTCGAGTGACCCAGGCGTTAACGACCGTCTTATTAGATTATGTGCCATTGCGCACTGGCAGTATCATCATTCTCGATTCGGCTTGTGGCTCTAAAGGCACGGATTTGGACATTTTTGCGCTTGAAGGTGAGTACAGAGGTGCGAAGTGGAACGCCAGCGAAGAACAAGCGTGAAGAAGCCATCAAGGAGGCAGAAAATACAACTCCTTTCTTCAACAGCGTCGAAGGAGGCTGGGTTAGGAGAAGGGCATGTCCGGACGACTTTTCCGGACATGCCAACCATTGCTTGGCTCAGTGATAATTGTTGATACGGCAATCAACCCTGCTGATTTTACGCTAAATGGCAGCCGTGCACCATCTTCCGCGGTGGGCCTGTCATAAATACTTCACGTCGTCCTAAACGCTGGGGTGGAGGCGGGATTTCCACGCGGTTTCGAGTTCCGAGTTCAAGTTTCGTCCTAAATGCTGGCTGGGTCTGCAAACATAGAGTCACTCTGTGTGTTGTATAGACCCAGCCATAGTATACGTCCTCTTACTCGCCTAATCCTGACCTGAGCCTCCAATGAAGTAGTTCATGTTGAGAAGGCCGCTAAAATGCTCCAGTGTGGAATTCTAGGTGGGCAGCCCATGAAAGGCACCCTCGTCCGCCCTGGATAACGTGTCCCGCATTTTTATCGTGAACTGTTCAAACAAGATAGACAACATTTTAATTTAAAAATGATTTATATGAGTATGCTACCCAGATGATTTTTGCTGATCGACCAACGGTGCGACTTAGGCGGGAGCTATTTTGGCACCTAACAACTTCTAGCTTCTATCTCACGAGGCGATGTGAGAATGATCGTAAATCCATGGGATACACTTGAAGAAAGTCGCGTCACCACCCAACAGAGCTTTTCACCGCCAAAGCTCGTCTAATTTGAGCTTGCCTACGAATATGAGAAGGCTTAGTAGAATAGCATGACACTTTATAAACACACCTCAAATTCAAACATTTCCGTGATTTTTTCACGGAATTTCGAGCACATGATCCTGTCCAAAAAGGTAAGGCACCGAACAGTGCCTGTAAGACTCCAATAATATTGGGAATTAGACTAGACTCTCCTAAGAGAAAAGGGTTTAAAGTCCTGGCTCAGAATGCCTCGATTCAACTCACTCTTTCAGGTGACAACAAGAGGCACTCCAACGACGGAGCAGCTAGCCCGATTGAAGCTCGCAATCAAATTACGGCAGAAGAGGGTACGTCCACTCACACGAGAAATAGCCGAAAATATCGTATTTTGGAGCTTGTCCACCAATCAGAATTGTTTCAGTTTGTCGCTCACCCGAACTGTCAACAGCTGCTGTCCGGTCTTTGGTATGAAGGATTGCCCGGGTTTCGAAATATGAACATTTGTCTTCAAGGTTAGTTCCAAACCTCATTCAAGCATTTATTCCGCCCGTTGTTCTTTCCTTTGATTTACAAGCTCATGGCTCAAGTCGGTATCTAATTTGTGTTCCGCCCAGGTCAAAACGATTTTTCCGTCCCAGCAAGTTCAGTCAATCGGCAATGGGTCCAAGGTAAAAACTGACCCGCATATCGGTTGGCCCTCCACGTCATTCTATTAAAATCTGGACACTCATCTAGATCGCACAGCGATTCCAATTGAAAGACGACTGCGTGGCGCATTCTAAGAACAACTCCTCTCGCCTGAATTTTGAATTTTTTATCATGTCTTACGCTTTGATATTTTGTGTGTGCCATTATCCTGAACATTCTTTTCCAAGCCAGATAAGCCCGGGACACGAACAAGTTCAAAATTCATTCTCTCTCCTCTCGGCAAACATACCATAAAGCCAACTGAGCGACTCAACTGCTAGTTCAAAGCCCTTCCACTCACCCACATGGCAGTTCCATTATGCAAACACATTTCCATTATTTCAGTGCCTTCTGATCGCAGCCGTTGGGCTGGCATTTCCGATTCTTTCAATTTCATATTTACTCGCGCCCAAATCGGCGATCGCTCAGTTTACCCGTAAGCCTTTCGTGAAATTCCTTTCGCATTCCGCCAGCTACATCGTCTTCCTCGGTGAGTTTCTTTCACGGTGTCATCGGCGTTACAACTGCCGTACAAATGCTTCTTTATTTTTTTTCAGCGCTTCTTATCATGGCTAGCCAACGAATCGACGACCGCGTCGACAACATGTTTCGTGAAGAAAATGCGCCTTCGAGAAAAGAAGGCCGAGGACCGTCTCCCACACCTGTGGAAATGGCCATCACTATTTGGGTTCTTGGTATGTATTGTCGGTTCTGTGCTCTAAACATGCGGGGACAGTAAGCTGGTTGTATAGATCTCTAGCTGGGTCACTACAACAGTGCTGATCCAGAGGCATCGCATACTAGAACCGTACGGCCCTCAGCTTCTATGTGCGCAGCGCGTGCCGTACTGCAGACCTATAGCCTCAGAATTTTCGCCCACTCCGCGCCTCGTCCGCTACCAGGAAACGCCACATAGATGTGCGCGAATTCGCGCCCTCGCACTAACAACTTTCCCCCCAACGGCCCCATCCGACGCCCGGCCGTACCCCGGTAGCAAACCAGCCCTCCTTCCCACGTTTTGGATGGCGACAGTATGCCCGCGCATGCTGAATGTTGGGGAGGGGATGGGGTCCCCAACGGTCGACGGTTTACTTCAACTCGGTTGGTACGATAGGAGAGTACTGACGCAAGTGGTGCAGCTGGTCCAGCAGCTCCGCCAGAAGGGCTGGTTTGCTCACCCCAGGACTAAGCCTTGGAGAGGGGACGGACCCGTCCTCTCTTTAAGGCTTAGTTCTGAGGTAAGCACCAAATTGTGGCGGTTCTAAGGACCGAGTTGAAGTGGTCCGTCCACCGTCGGGGACTCCATCCCCTCCCCAACATTCAGCATACGGTCCCAGCCGAAGCGCCAAAAGGGCTGGTTTGCTTACGGTCTGACTCCGCACTGGTGGGGGGCAGCCGATCACCGCTACGAGCAGTCAATCGGTTCCCTCACCACCACCATAGCTTTAGGGGGTAGTATAATATTTAGATCTGAGAGCACTTGACAGTCCAGTTTCCGCCCATTTTTCCCTCCGAATTGTCGAGCGGGAGGAGGAATAGCGTAAGGGGTAAATATCTGATGAAGCAGCAGCAAATCCACCAATTTTACATTTTACGCTTTTTTTTCATGAGGTTTCCGGTGAAAAACCCAACATAAACGATCAATATCTCCCGCTCCACCACCCCTATCTCAAAGCTGACCCCCTTTTTTCCCCTTTTGGCCTTTCACCAACCATAAACGACCCTCTTTCCAGAAAACTCAAATACGACTCCTATGTGGGAGAACTGAGCAATGCACGGTTGACCCCAGCTACGAATTGTCACAACATGAAAACGGCTTACGAACGTAGCGATACCACTGCTTCAAGGAACTCACATTTCAGGTTTAATATGGGTAGAGATCAAGCAGTTGTGGGACTGCGGCCTCCACGACTACTGTCACAACTTATGGAACATTCTCGACTTTATCACGAACTCACTCTACCTCTCCACGCTGGCTCTGCGAACTGTTGCCTATTATCAGGTCCTATTTTTTTACTTTTATGTGCATTCAAAGTTCTTGTTTTCCTCGTGTTGCTGTGCAGTGTGCCAGATCTCATCCCTTTATGCATGCCTCAGCAAGGTAGCACTTATTTACAGGTCAATCAGGAGATGAAGGACCCACGAACGCAGCATATTGGGCGCTTTCTTCAAAGGTATCGTCCATTTTGATACTCTCTTTGAGTTCAAATGCTATGAAGCCTGGTTTTAAGGAAGGACTGGGACGCATGGGATCCGACGCTGGTCAGCGAATGTGTGTTCGCCACTGCCAACATTTTCTCGTCGTTGAAACTCGTACACATCTTCACCGTCAATCCTTACCTCGGACCATTGAAAATATCGTTAGGTGAGAAAGTGAAGATTCACTTGGTGAGAAAATCGCTGGACAGGGTCCCATCGAGAATGCTCATGATGACTTTCTGAGAGAAAACGCCTAAAGCATTAGGCAATGTATAGAACTTACAGTAGCGGTCAAAAGTGATCGCCGAAACGGTTTTTCGTGCTTCTCTTTTTTGTCAGAAAAAATCAATGGTGACCTCGAAATTTTTTTGGATCCTGATTTTTTAAGACTTGAGCGTATAAAAACACAAAAAAAACATAGTATATCTTGAACAGACATGGAGGACATAGAATATAATGAATGTTTCACAAGAATGCTGGGTTGTGAACAAAACTTTCGCCCCAGGCGGGACTAGAACCCGCACCTCTCGCTTTCCGGGCAAGTGCGCTACCGGGGCACCATTTCATTCCAACTCAGCTTTTCATGGTATGCGTACCTAGCTTTCAGCACGCAAAAACACTAGAAAACATAGTATATCAATCTTTGGAAGGACGTTGCTCAAGCGAGAAAAAATAATGCACTGAAAATCGTTTCGGCGAACACTTTTGACCGCTACTGTATGTTTGCGCCACGCACTCTGCTTCTATATAAAATCATAGTGAAAACCAAATACGTTTTGACCGACGTGAATTGGGGGGAGGCGAGAAATGTACATATCAGACTGCCGACATTCTCAGACAGATTTTTTAATACAAAAACTGACCCTACTAATGAAGGGCTAGTCGAATATAAGCCGGGGTCTGATCCCGCACCGTGCACGTGACAAGCGATAAAACTTGTTACCACATCGCCTTGACTGTTGCCGGTTCTTCACTTTCAGTGGTATATTCTAAAGAATTGGGCGGAAGTGGTGTAGTGGCAAGTGGCACGCTTACCACGCGAGCGGTCCGGGGATCAAATCCTGGGTCGTGAGTCGCCCGGGCCAACCAAGCCTTCCATCCCTCCGGGTCGGTTAATTGGTACCAGACTTGTCTGGGAGGATAAAAACACTGACTTGTACATCGGCTGGCCCCGCAAGTCATTGTATAGGCCACATCGCATTCAAACGCCACTACG